GAATATAATAGAAACATGCTCCATAAAAAGCAGTTTTGACAATAATATGAATATTTCTTTTTGTTTACATAAATTGGACTCATTTATAATTAATAAAATTTGGAAAGAATTTAATGATACGTTAGACAAGTAAGAAATCATAATCCTTGGGTAGAGTTCAGGTGTGTTTTACGGAGTCGGGTGTTGTGACGCGACTGTGAGGTGTAGTCTTGTTGTTGTGACGTGATTGTAAGGTGTAGTCTTGCCCCTGTATATGCCTCCTGTTTATGTTTTGTTTTTCATAGTTCCTATGATAATTTGAGAAGTCACGAAAGCGCTTGGAATTTCACTATTTCTTTTCAGTGGTTGTTCTGAACACACACACACACACACACACATACACACACACACATATATATATATACATATATATATATATATATATATATATATATATATATATATATATATATATATATATATATATATATATATTATATATATATATATATATATATATATATATATATATATAATATATATATATATATATGTCGTGCCGAATAGGTAAAACTTGCGATTTTGGCTTAAATAGCAACGCTCTTCTTGCTGAATAAGACAACCAAAAATTTGTGTATGCAGTAATTTCGCAAAAATCATTCTGAATCTAACGAAAAAAATCTATTTCATTGTGTTTGTTTATTATTAATTTATTGTAAACTTATCTAAAATATATTTAGTTGGGTTAGTCTAAATTGTAGATGAATGTTCAGAGAACAGACAAGTTGATAAATTAGACACATGTGCAATTCTTGGGTATCTTTGAGGAAACGTTTCGCCACACAGTGACTTCATCAGTCTATACAAAGGAGAATGGTGAAGAAGAGGAGGAGTTTGAGGTAATCAGTCCCTTTCCCATGATAAGTATATGCTTTTCTAGATTGGTGGACTGACCACATCAACTCATGGGTAAGGGACTGATTACCTCGAGCTCCTCCTGTTCTTCACCATTTTCCTTTGTATGGACTGATGAAGCCACTGTGTGGTGGCGAAACGTTTCCTCAATAAAGATACCCAAGAGTTGCACATGTGTCTAATTTATCAGTCATTAGGTTAAATTAATTTGCGCTTGTTACAATAAGGTTAGGTAAGTTTTCTAAGGTTCTTTTGGTACAAAATTATTAATTTTTAAATTAACATAAATGAAAAATACATATTTTTTAACGTATAAAATAAATTTTTAGAAAAGACTTAACTTGAAATGAGTATATATATATAATATATATATATATATATATATATATATATATATATATATATATATATATATGTCGTGCCGAATATGTAAAACTGGTCAGTTAGCAAGAACTCATTTAAAATTAAGTCCTTTCTAAAATTTTCTCTTATACGTTTAAAGATATATTTTTTTCATTAATGTTAATGTAAAAATTTTTAATTTTGCACCAAAAGAATCTTAGAAAACTTACCTAACCTTATTATAACAAGAGCAATTTATATTAACCTAACCCGACTAAATATATTTTAGATTTGTTTACAATAATTTAATACTAAACAAACACAGTGAAATATATTTTTTTCGTTAGGTTCAGAATGATTTTGGCGAAATTATTGCATACACAAATTTTCACTTGTCCTATATGGCAAGATGAGCGTTGCTATTTAAGCCAAGATCGCAAGTTCTGCCTATTCGGCACGACATATATATATATATATATATATATATATATATATATATATATATATATATATATATATATATATATATATATATGTATTTATATATATATAGGAGTGAATGGAGACAAATGGTTTTTAATACTTGACGTGCTGTTGGAGTGTGAGCAAAGTAACATTTATGAAGGGATTCAGGGAAACCGGCAGGCCGGACTTGAGTCCTGGAGATGGGAAGTACAGTGCCTGCACTCTGAAGGAGGGGTGTTAATGTTGCAGTTTAAAAACTGTAGTGTAAAGCACCCTTCTGGCAAGACAGTGATGGAGTGAATGATGGTGAAAGTTTTTCTTTTTCGGGCCACCCTGCCTTGGTGGGAATCGGCCAGTGTTATAATAAAAAAAAATAAAATATATATATATATATATATATATATATATATATATATATATATATATATATATATATATATATATATATATATATATATATACACACACACACACACACACACGTAAGGAGATAAATTTATTATTTTTAGGTAAATAAATAACTGAAAATTATGTAGACACAGACGTGTTTTTTCTCCTCCTTGTGAGCACACATTTCAAACTTCGCCTCAACCAATATTTTCCAGTAATGTTGCATCAAAATGTGCGTCCAACCCCGTGATCCAGGGTAATGTTGGTGAGTTCCTTTCAAGATTCATCAGCCAGTAAGTTCGACCTGTGTTATTTGTGAAAGTTTGCCATCAATGACTTCATTAGGAGTGTAGGAGTGTCAGGGATATAAGAAGGCTGGGAATGAAGGCAGAAACGTCAGACTGTGTCTGTTGGCATTCCGCTCACTGCTTCGGCATTACTACCCATTTTTCCATACTAACCAAGGTGAGTTATCCCTTTAATACTCCCTCTTTCTGATCACCTTAACTCCTCCTCTTTTATTCTGTTTCACTTTAAGTGCCCCTTTCTCTTTAGCTCCGCTCAAGGGGATTTTATTTACTAAATATAGGTTACTGAAAGCAATGAAGAGTTTTTACGGGGATAGTGAGGCTCAGGTTAGAGTATGTAAGAGAGAGGGAGATTATTTCCCAGTAAAAGTAGACCTTAGACAAAGATGTGTGATGTCACCATGGTTGTTCAATATATTTATAGATGGGGTTGTAAGAGAAGTGAATGCTCGGGGTCTTGGCAAGAGGTGTGGAGTTAAAAGATAAAGAATCAAAAACAAAGTGGGAGTTGTCACAGCTGCTCTTTGCTGATGACACTGTGCTTTTGGGAGATTCTGAAGAGAAGTTGCAGAGGTTGGTGGATGAACTTGGTAGGGTATGTAAAAGAAGAAAATTAAAAGTGAATGTAGGAAAGAGTAAGGTTATGAGGATAACAAAAAGATTAGGTGACGAAATATTGGATATCAGATTGGAGGGAGAGAGTATGGAGGAGGTGAATGTATTCAGATATTTGGGAGTGGACGTGTCAGCAGATGGGTCTATGAAGGATGAGGTGAATCACAGAATTGATGAGGGGTAAAGGGTGAGTGGTGCACTTAGGAGTCTGTGCTGACAAAGAACTTTGTCCGTGGAAGCAAAAGGGGGAATGTATGAGAATATAGTTGTACCAACACTCTTATATGGGTGTGAAGCATGGGTGATGAATGTTGCAACGAGGAGAAGGCTGGAGGCAGTGGAGACGTCATGTCTGAGGGCAATGTGTGGTGTGAATATAATGCAGAGAATTCGTAGTTCGGAAATTAGGAGAAGGTGCGGGATTACCAAAACTTTTGTCCAGAGGGCTGAGGAAGGGTTGTTGAGGTGGTTCGGACATGTAGAGAGAATGGAACAAAACAGAATAACTTCGAGAGTGTATAAATCTAAAGTGGAGGGAAGGCGGGGTAGGGGTCGGCCTAGGATGGGTTGGAGGGAGGGGGTAAAGGAGGTTTTGTGTGCGAGGGGTTTGGACTTCCAGCAGGCATGCGTGAGCGTGTTTGATAGGAGTGAATGGAGACATTTGGTTTTTAATACTTGACGTGCTGTTGGAGTGTGAGCAAAGTAACATTTATGAAGGGGTTCAGGGAAACCGGCAGGCCGGACTTGAGTCCTGGAGATGGGAAGTACAGTGCCTGCACTCTGAAGGAGGGGTGTTAATGTTGCAGTTTAAAAACTGTAGTGTAAAGCACCCTTCTGGCAAGACAGTGATGAGTGAATGATGGTGAAAGTTTTTCTTTTTCGGGCCACCCTACCTTGGTGGCCACCCTGCCTTGGTGGCCACCCTGCCTTGGTGGCCACCCTGCCTTGGTGGCCACCCTGCCTTGGTGGCCACCCTGCCTTGGTGGCCACCCTGCCTTGGTGGCACTACCCTGCCTTGGGCCCCCCGGTGGGCCACCCTGCCTTGGTGGCCACCCTGCCTTGGTGGCCACCCTGCCTTGGTGGCCACCCTGCCTTGGTGGCCACCCTGCCTGGGTGGCCACCCTGCCTTGGTGGCCACCCTACCTTGGTGGCCACCCTGCCTTGGTGGCCACCCTGCCTTGGTGGCCACCCTGCCTTGGTGGCCACCCTGCCTTGGTGGCCACCCTGCCTTGGTGGCCACCCTGCCTTGGTGGCCACCCTGCCTTGGTGGCCACCCTGCCTTGGTGGCCACCCTGCCTTGGTGGGAGACGGCCGATGTGTTAATAAAATATAATAAAATATAGGATAACCCAAGTTTTTTTGTTTAACATTGACCGTTTCCCACCGAGGAAGGGTGACCCGATAAAGAAGAAACATGTTACCCATCACTCACTCCACCACTGTTTTGCCAGAGGTGAGCTGACATCATAGCTCAGATACACCTCTAAACTGCAGTATCCCCACCTCTCCTTCAGAGTGCAGGTACTGTACTTCCCACCTCCAGGACTCAAGTCCTGGTTTCTCTGAGCATCTTCATAAATGTTACCTTGCTCACACTCCAACAGCACAAGTCATAAAAACCATTTGCCTTCACTCCAAACACGTTCACACACGGTTGCTTGCTTGAAGTTAAAGCCCCTCACACACAAAACCTCCTTTACCCCCTCTCTCCAACCTTTCCTAGGACGACCCCTACTCCGCCTTCCTTCCACCACAGATTTATACATACTTCTAGTCATTCTATTTTGCCCCATCCTCTCTGAATGTCCACACCACCATACCAACATCTCCTTAGCCCTCTGGATAATACATTTAGTAATCCCGTTCCTCCATCTAATCTCCCAACAACGGATTCTCTGCATAATATTCACACCACACATTGCCCTCAGACACGATATCTCCACTGCCTCCGGCCTCCTCGTCGCTGCAACATTCAAAACTCATGCTTCACACCCATACTGTTAAGAGTGTTGGTACCACTATACTCTCATACATGTATAAATAATAATATTTCTACAAGTACATGTACAAGGTATACAGGCCTAGCTGACATCAATGACATACTACTATATAGAATGACGCTTGTTATGCAGAGCATTTCGGGCAAATTGGGTCAATTTTGTCCCCTAGGATGCGACCCACACCAGTCGGCTAACATCCAGGTACCTATTTTGCTGCTGGGTGAACAGGGACGGTAGGTGTCTTAAGGAAACAAGTCTTAATGTTTCCACCCGTACCGGGGATTGAACCCCACACCTCAGTGTGGGAGCTGAGTGCGCTAGCGATCCAGCTATGGAACACTTAAGAGGCACTAAGTTCCCTCGTCTTCTAATAACATGTTCATTTTTCCACTATAATCTACCTTGTCTATAATTACTATCACATTTAATTAAAGATCCTGGACTTCACTTTCCGAAATAGACAAAGTAAATGTGATAGTAATTATGTGACAAGATAGATTATAGTGGAAAACTGAACATGATATTAGAACAACTACTACTACTACTACTACTACTACTACTACTACTACTACTACCCTGCACCTCTCCTTCCGACAGTATTTAAGTCTCCGCACTGTCGCTTGATCTTCAGATAGTTCCTGACTATGGAACTGAACTTCTCCAGGCCGAGGGACTGACAACCTCAAATTCTACGACTTTAAGGGTGATGGACTGATTACATCGTCTTCACATCTCTTCTGTTCCTGCCTACTTTCTGTATTCGACTGAAGAAGCCTACTGTGTAGGCGAAACGTTTCGGAATAAAGTTGTCTAACTGTTGCATATGTGTCTTACCTAACAACATGATATTAGAAGACGAGGGAACTTAGTGCCTCATAAAGTTCCTTGTCTCTACAGATGCCTCTGTGCACCACCCATCTCTTCCCCCTCATCAGTTCTGTGGTTCACCTCATCTTTCATAGACCCGTCCGCTAACAAGGTCACTCACATAATATCTGAACACTCACCTCCTCCATACTCCCTCCAGTCTTATATCCAGTCTTATATCCAGTCTTATATCCAGTCTTATATCCAGTCTTATATCCAGTCTTATATCCAGTCTTATATCCAGTCTTATATCCAGTCTTATATCCAGTCTTATATCCAGTCTTATATCCGGTTTTATATCCAGTCTTATATCCGGTTTTATATCCAGTCTTATATCCGGTTTTATATCCAGTCTTATATCCAGTCTTATATCCAGTCTTATATCCAGTCTTATATCCGGTTTTATATCCAGTCTTATATCCATCTTATATCCAGTCTTATATCCAGGTCTTATATCCAGTTTATATCCGTTTATATCCATCTTATATCCGGTTTTATATCCATCTTATATCCAGTCTTATATCCCATCTTATATCCAGTCTTTTTAAACCAGTCTTATATCCAGTCTTATATCCAGTCTTATATCCAGTCTTATATCCAGTCTTATATCCAGTCTTATATCCAGTTTTATATCCAGTTTTATATCCAGTCTTATATCCAGTCTTATACCAGTCCCTTTTATCCATTTTATATCCAGTCTTATTTCCAGTCTTATATCCAGTCTTATATCCAGTCTTATATCCAGTTTTATATCCAGTCTTATTTCCAGTCTTATATCCAGTCTTATATCCAGTCTTATATCCAGTTTTTATATCCAGTTCCCTTTTATCCGTCTTATATCCAGTCTTATATCCAGTTTTATATCCAGTTTTATATCCAGTCTTATATCCAGTCTTATATCCAGTCTTATATCCAGTTTTATATCCAGTCTTATTTCCAGTCCTTCGTTACCAAGACACTGTGGTTTGAGAGAGACAGTGACGTGAGTGAGACTTTGTTACATAAGCTGAGACTTTGTTACACAAGCTGAGACTTTGTTACACAAGCTGAGACTTTGTTACACAAGCTGAGACTTTGTTACACAAGCTGAGACTTTGTTACACAAGCTGAGACTTTGTTACACAAGCTGAGACTTTGTTACACAAGCTGAGACTTTGTTACACATAGTGGAGCTTTATAACACACAGTGGAGCTTTATAACACACAGTGGAGCTTTATAACACACAGTGGAGCTTTATAACACACAGTGGAGCTTTATAACACACAGTGGAGCTTTATAACACACAGTGGAGCTTTATAACACACAGTGGAGCTTTATAACACACAGTGGAGCTTTATAACACACAGTGGAGCTTTATAACACACAGTGAAGCTTTATAACACACAGTGGAGCTTTATAACACACAGTGGAGCTTTATAACACACAGCGGAGCTTTATAACGCACAGTGAAGCTTTATAACACACAGCGGAGCTTTATAACACACAGTGGAACTTTATAACACACAGTGGAGCTTTATAACACACAGTGGAGCTCTATATCACACAGTGGAGCTTTATAATACACAGTGGAGCTTTATAACACACAGTGGAGCTTTATAACACACAGTGGAGCTTTATAACACACAGTGGAGCTTTATAAACACACAGTGGAGCTTTATAACACACAGTGGAGCTTTATAACACACAGTGGAGTTTTATAACACACAGTGGAGCTTTATAACACACAGTGGAGCTTTATAACACACAGTGGAGCTTTATAACACACAGTGGAGCTTTATAACACACAGTGGAGTTTTATAACACACAGTGGAGCTTTATAACACACAGTGGAGCTTTATAACACACAGTGGAGCTTTATAACACACAGTGGAGCTTTATAACACACAGTGGAGCTCTATATCACACAGTGGAGCTTTATAACACACAGTGGAGCTTTATAACACACAGTGGAGCTTTATAACACACAGTGGAGCTTTATAACACACAGTGGAGCTTTATAACACACAGTGGAGTTTTATAACACACAGTGGAGCTTTATAACACACAGCGGAGCTTTATAACACACAGTGGGTGATACGTTGCTTAGTGGATCTTTTTTCAGCTTAGAATGTTACGTGTAGTATTACGTGTGGTGATATGTGTTGTGTTACGTTTGGTGTTACAGGGAGACGGGATGCTACGAGTGTGTGTTATGGTGTGTGTGACGGTGGTGGTGACGCTGGGGGCGGAGTCATCGTCGTCACCCCAGGCACGGTCATCCTTCTCTCTGGACCCCATCATGCTCTTCTCACAGGTATGTTGCTCTCTCTCTCCTCTCTCTCTCTCTCTCTCTCTCTCTCTCTCTCTCTCTCTCTCTCTCTCTCTCTCTCTCTCTCTCTCTCGTACAGCATCAATAATTACATATATTTAAGTTGCTTTACAACCCGTAACTACCAGCAGAAATATGTGCAGTAAGTCCTCACTTAACGTCGCCGATAAGTTCTCGGAAACTGCGAATTTAAGCGAAACGACGTATAACGAAACCAGTTTTACCATAGGCTAATTGATATAAAGAAAATTTCTAGTTTTGTCTCTAATGTCACATTTTTTTTTGTGGCCACAGACATTAATGGTGCACAGTGCACCTTTAGGGGTGCACAGTGCACGTTTAGTACTCACTGCAACAGGGTTAAATCATGGAATAAATGTTTTGCAAAGTGAAAATTGTAAGGAGCTCCTCCTACCGTCACGCAATTCAACAACAAACAATAACAAATATGGCTGACTGGCTGAGCGTTGTCGTACCTCATCGTTTGTCATGCATTTGTATGATTATCGTATACTGTACGAATTTTTGTTTTACGGTAATTTGTATTCGTTGTAATCGATTATTTTTCTCATCAACGTTATAACGAAACGACGTTATTCGAGGACCTGCTGTATGTGAAGTATGCAAGTCAGCCACTGGCTGACACTAGCTTATGTAGATTTATAACTTAGGAAATAAATTGTCAGTGTTCAGAGTGTATAAAACTGCCATTTTTCAGTTGTTCCCGTAAGATGTGTCCTGTTTACATCAGGAAAACTAACATGTTAATCATGAGACGAGTTATGCTGCTAGGAGACAACATATGCTGCTAGGAGACAACATATGCTGCTAGGAGACAACATATGCTGCTAGAAGACAGCATATGCGACTAGAAGATAACATATGCTGCTAGAAGACAGCATATGTTGCTAGGAGACAACATATGCTGCTAGAAGACAGCATATGTTGCTAGGAGACAACATATGCTGCTAGAAGACAGCATATGCTGCTAGGAGACAACATATACTGCTAGAAGACAGCATATGCTGCTAGGAGACAACATATGCTGCTAGAAGACAACATATGCTGCTAGGAGACAACATATGCTGCTAGAAGACAGCATATGTTGCTAGGAGACAACATATGCTGCTAGGAGACAACATATGCTGCTAGAAGACAGCATATGCTGCTAGGAGACAACATATGCTGCTAGGAGACAACATATGCTGCTAGGAAACAGCATATGCTGCTAGGAGACAACATATGCTGCTAGGAGACAACATATGCTGCTAGGAGACAACATATGCTGCTAGGAGACAACATATGCTGCTAGAAGACAACATATGCTGCTAGAAGACAACATATGCTGCTAGGAGACAACATATACTGCTAGGAGACAACATATGCTGCTAGGAGACAACATATACTGCTAGGAGACAACATATGCTGCTAGGAGACAACATATGCTGCTAGGAGACAACATATGCTGCTAGAAGACAACATATGCTGCTAAGAGACAACATATGCTGCTAGGAGACAACATATACTGCTAGGAGACAACATATGCTGCTAGGAGACAACATATGCTGCTAGGAGACAACATATGCTGTTAGGAGACAACATATGCTGCTAGGAGACAACATATGCTGCTAGGAGACTACATATACTGCTAGGAGACAACATATGCTGCTAGGAGACTACATATACTGCTAGGAGACAACATATGCTGCTAGGAGACTACATATACTGCTAGGAGACAACATATGCTGCTAGGAGACAACATATACTGCTAGGAGACAACATATGCTGCTAGGATACTATATATACTGCTAGGAGACAACATATGCTGCTAGGAGACAACATATGCTGCTAGGAGACAACATATACTGCTAGGAGACAACATATGCTGCTAGGAGACTACATATACTGCTAGGAGACAACATATGCTGCTAGACTACATATACTGCTAGGAGACAACATATGCTGCTAGGAGACTACATATACTGCTAGGAGACAACATATGCTGCTAGGAGACAACATATGCTGCTAGGAGACTACATATGCTGCTAGGAGACTACATATACTGCTGGGAGACTACATATACTGCTAGGAGACTACATATACTGCTAGGAGACAACATATGCTGCTAGGAGACTACATATGCTGCTAGGAGACTACATATACTGCTAGGAGACTACATATACTGCTAGGAGACTACACACATCACAGTATTTTGAAAGTGATCAGTAATTTTTAAGTTCTGATTAATATTTACGTTTTTTTTTTTTGGTGTAGGTCGAACGTTAAAAAATATTATATCTTTGTGCTGCCACAACACAGGGAAGGAACGTGAAGCGTAAGTAGCATCTCCTCTGTGCTTCCTTAACGTTCAAGGTTCCGTGGTGTTCCTTTGTGGTTGAGGAGCCTCAGTGCCTGTGACTGCTGTAGTTAGATGTAATACCTCTCTTGTTCAGTTATAGTATGACGTAAGTCTTGGTGTGAATCATTCAAGTTACAACCTGACGTAAGTCTTGGTGTGAATCATTCAAGTTACAACATGACGTAAGTCTTGGTATGAATCATTCAAGTTACAACATGACGTAAGTCTTGGTGTGAATCATTCAAGTTACAACCTGACGTAAGTCTTGGTGTGAATCATTCAAGTTACAACCTGACGTAAGTCTTGGTGTGAATCATTCAAGTTACAACATGACGTAAGTCTTGGTGTGAATCATTGAAGTTACAACATGACGTAAGTCTTGGTGTGAATCATTCAAGTTACAACATGACGTAAGTCTTGGTGTGAATCGTTCAAGTTACAACATGACGTAAGTCTTGGTGTGAATCATTCAAGTTACAACATGACGTAAGTCTTGGTGTGAATCATTGAAGTTACAACATGACGTAAGTCTTGGTGTGAATCGTTCAAGTTACAACATGACGTAAGTCTTGGTGTGAATCATTGAAGTTACAACATGACGTAAGTCTTGGTGTGAATCGTTCAAGTTACAACATGACGTAAGTCTTGGTGTGAATCGTTCAAGTTACAACATGACGTAAGTCTTGGTGTGAATCGTTCAAGTTACAACATGACGTAAGTCTTGGTGTGAATCATTGAAGTTACAACATGACGTAAGTCTTGGTGTGAATCATTCAAGTTACAACATGACGTAAGTCTTGGTATGAATCATTGAAGTTACAACATGACGTAAGTCTTGGTGTGAATCATTGAAGTTACAACATGACGTAAGTCTTGGTGTGAATCATTGAAGTTACAACATGACGTAAGTCTTGGTGTGAATCGTTCAAGTTACAACATGACGTAAGTCTTGGTGTGAATCATTCAAGTTACAACATGACGTAAGTCTTGGTGTGAATCGTTCAAGTTACAACATGACGTAAGTCTTGGTGTGAATCGTTCAAGTTACATGACGTAAGTCTTGGTGTGAATCATTGAAGTTACAACATGACGTAAGTCTTGGTGTGAATCATTCAAGTTACAACCTGACGTAAGTCTTGGTGTGAATCGTTCAAGTTACAACATGACGTAAGTCTTGGTGTGAATCATTCAAGTTACAACATGACGTAAGTCTTGGTGTGAATCATTGAAGTTACAACATGACGTAAGTCTTGGTGTGAATCATTCAAGTTACAACATGACGTAAGTCTTGGTGTGAATCGTTCAAGTTACAACATGACGTAAGTCTTGGTGTGAATCATTCAAGTTACAACATGACGTAAGTCTTGGTGTGAATCATTGAAGTTACAACATGACGTAAGTCTTGGTGTGAATCGTTCAAGTTACAACATGACGTAAGTCTTGGTGTGAATCATTGAAGTTACAACATGACGTAAGTCTTGGTGTGAATCGTTCAAGTTACAACATGACGTAAGTCTTGGTGTGAATCGTTCAAGTTACAACATGACGTAAGTCTTGGTGTGAATCGTTCAAGTTACAACATGACGTAAGTCTTGGTGTGAAATCATTGAAGTTACAACATGACGTAAGTCTTGGTGTGAATCATTCAAGTTACAACATGACGTAAGTCTTGGTATGAATCATTGAAGTTACAACATGACGTAAGTCTTGGTGTGAATCATTGAAGTTACAACATGACGTAAGTCTTGGTGTGAATCATTGAAGTTACAACATGACGTAAGTCTTGGTGTGAATCGTTCAAGTTACAACATGACGTAAGTCTTGGTGTGAATCATTCAAGTTACAACATGACGTAAGTCTTGGTATGAATTATTGAAGTTACAACATGACGTAAGTCTTGGTGTGAATCATTCAAGTTACAACATGACGTAAGTCTTGGTATGAATCATTGAAGTTACAACATGACGTAAGTCTTGGTGTGAATCATTCAAGTTACAACATGACGTAAGTCTTGGTGTGAATCATTGAAGTTACAACATGACGTAAGTCTTGGTGTGAATCATTCAAGTTACAACATGACGTAAGTCTTGGTATGAATCATTGAAGTTACAACATGACGTAAGTCTTGGTGTGAATCATTCAAGTTACAACATGACGTAAGTCTTGGTGTGAATCATTGAAGTTACAACATGACGTAAGTCTTGGTGTGAATCATTAAAGTTACAACATGACGTAAGTCTTGGTGTGAATCATTCAAGTTACAACATGACGTAAGTCTTGGTATGAATCATTGAAGTTACAACATGACGTAAGTACACCATTTAACAGTACATTACATAATAGTACACCACTACACAGTAGTACATCACTATACAGTAGTACATTACACAGCAGCACACTACACAGTAGTACACCATTACACAGTAGTACAATATTACACAGTAGTACAACATTACAAAATAGTACACCACTACACAGTAGTACAACATTAGATAATAGTACACCACTACAGGGTCAGGTAGGTGATCTTGGTTGCCAATATGACGTTTTTCAGAACATAGTTCTAGCTGCCCAGACAACTTTTGTTCCGAGTAGGGAAATTAGATCTAACAAAAATGATCCCAAATGGATGAACAATAGATTAAAACATCTCATTGGTCAAAAGAGAGGCATATATAGGCGTATCAAAAGAGGGAATGGGCAGTTAAGAAATCAATATATTCAATTAAAGAGAGAAATAAAGAAAGGAATAAGAAAAACAAAAAAAGATTATGAGGCTAAGCTCGCAAGGGATTCAAAGACTAACCCAAAAGGGTTCTTTCAGGTATACAGAAGTAAGATTAGGGACAAGATTGGCTCACTTAAGGGAAACTCTGGTCAGATCACTGACAGTGATAAGGATATGTGTGAAATTCTCAGTACCTACTTCCTTTCAGTTTTCACCCAGGAAAAATACTAGCGATATTCCTGAAATAATAGATTATGTAGAACAGGACGATAATAAACTATGCACGATTGTGGTAACTAGTGACATGGTCCTCAGACATATAGAGAAACTAAAACCTAACAAATCCCCAGGTCCTGATGAACTGTTTGCAAGGGTGTTAAAGGAATGTAAAGAGGAACTTAGCATACCTTTGGCTAATCTTTTTAACATACACTACAAACTAGCATAGTGCCTGATAAGTGGAAAATGACGAATGTAATACCTATTTACAAGGCAGGTGACAGGTCCTTGGCTTCGAACTATAGACCAAAAGGCTTACCTCCATAGTGGGAAAATTTATGGAATCAATAATTGTCGAAGCAATTCGTAGCCATCTTGATAGGCACAGATTAATTAATGAATCTCAACACGGTTTTACAAAGGGGGGTTCCTGTCTTATGAATTTACTAACTATTTTCACTAAGGTGTTTGAGGAGGTAGATCATGGTAATGAATATGATATTGTGTATATGGACTTCAGTAAGGCTTTCGATAAAGTTCCACACCAGAGGCTATTAAGGAAACTTAAGGCACACGGAATAGGAGAAATTTTTTCCTGGGTAGAGGCATGGCTGACAAATAGACAGCAGAGAGTTTGCATAAATGGGGAGAAATCAGAATGGGGGCACGTCACAAGCGGTGTTCCTCAGGGGTCAGTGTCGGACCCGTTGTTGTTCACAATTTACATAAACGACATAGATGAGGGAATAAATAGCGACATAAGCAAATTTGCTGATGACACCAAAATAGGCCGCCCAATTATCTATGGAAAAACAAAAAGACAGGAGGAAATGGGGTAACACCCCTCAATTGGGTTCGAGTTTAGTCAAAAATCTTAGTAAATTTTAAAATTTAGGGAGAAAAAAAAAGTTTAAAACGTAGGGGCAGGAGAGGGTAGCAACAAGGTTTTTCAGGTTAAAAGTAAGGGTTGGGCCCAAGATTTACAAGGAAAATTTAAGTATAAGAAAGATTGCGGTTAAAATTTGTAATTGGTTCAAAAAAACCGAATTTTGAAAATTAGAAATGTGAACGGGATTTTATTGAGGGGGAAACGTTTCCCAAAGTGGTTTATCACCCCATCGGGGAAAAAACTTGAAGAAAGGGGAAAGAGGAACTTCAACCTTGGCATTTTCATCCTCAATCTTGGTAAATGGAAATGGGGAAAGGTTAAACCTATCAGGGAGGTGACGTCTTGGTATGACATTTTTCCAATGTGGAATTTATTGCCCCAAAATTGGAAGCAAGAATTTTGTTTTAAGATAAAAATTCAGGTTACAGGGGTTTGTAATAATTTAAAAACATTTTTTAAATTGGGAACATGGAATTTGGGGTATTTTATTGGAAAGTTTCGAAAAGGGTTCAACCCATAGGAAACAAAAGGAGGAAAAATGGGTAACAGCCCTCAATTGAGCGAGGTTTCATAAATTTGGGGAAACGGAGATGGGGGAAAGGTTTCCGGGCAGGGAGGTGTACTTTCATAAGGACATTTGTTAATGGGAATAGGTTGTGCCCAAAATTGGAAAAGCAAATTCCAAATTTTAAGACCAAGAGTTTCAGTGTTGAATTTGTAGTGAATGGTTCAGGAACCGACAGTGTTTAAATTTAGACACATGTGCAACTCTTGGGTATCTTTATTGAGGAAACGTTTCCCCACACGTGGCTTATCCCCATCATGGGAGAAACTTAAAAGAAAAGGAGGAGTGAGGTAATCAGTCCCTAAACCTTGGTCGAGGTTCAGTCCATAAATCTTGGTAGATAGGGCGATGAGCGGAAAAGCAGCTTAAAAACCCGTATGGCAGGAGAGGTGTGAGTATAGGTAGTGTCAATTTGTTAAATGTGGAATAGGTTGTGCCCAAGAATTAGGCAAGCGAAAAAATTTCCCAAAGTATTGTCCCAAAAAAGTTGCGGTCTAAAGGTTTTGTAGATAAATGGTTCAGGAAAACCCGAATTTTGAAAAATTTAGACACATGTAAAATCGGGGTATCTTTAT